ACCCAGGCTGTGATGCAATGGCATGATCACGGCTCACTGAAGCCTCAACCTCCCAGGCTCAAGCAATCCTCCCACCTCAGCCTCCTGGGTAGCTGGGACTATGGGTATGTACCAGCATACGCAGCTAATTTTTTTTCTTAGAAACAGGGTCTCAGTATGTTGCCTAGGCTTGTTATTTTAAAAAGCTGCTTCCTTTTGGCCAGTGCAGTGGCTCACACCTGTAATCCCAGCACTTTAGAAGACTGAGGCAGATGGATCACTTGAGGCCAGCAGTTTGAGACCAGCCTCGCCAACATGGCGAAACCCTGTCTCTACTAAAAAATACGAAAAAAATGAGCCAAGCGTGGTGGTGCATGCCTGTAATCCCAGCTACTAAGGTTGAGGCATGGGAATTGTTTGAACCGGGAGGCAGAGTTTGCATTGAGATGAGATTGCGCCACTTCACTGCATCCTGGGAAACAGAGCAAGACTCTGTCTCAAAAAAAAAAAAAAACTACATTATTTTAAATTGTACTTTCATCATACTTTTTATACAAATAAATTCACATTTTTTAACATTTTATTAAGACTAACCTCACACCTCTAAACTGTTAGTTTAGAGCATGCCAAATGTTACAACTAAAATTGAACTTCTGGCTTTCCTGAATCCTGTGGGATCTCAGGTTCCTAACTGCTAAGCCACAGCTAAGTCTTCTTCTCAGACCTTCAGCAACTTCTCTGCTAAGCTTGACCTCTTCCATGCTTCCTTCCTGACCTGTGTCTTGGCTCTCCAAGCCCCAGTATTCTGCCTTGAATTTTCATTTCACTCCTTACCATAGCCCAGGCAGAAATACTAAGATAGGTCAACCATTAAATAAAAAGCAAAAAATTGGTGGGGGTGGGTGGCTCACAATTGTAATCTCAGCACTTCCTGAGGCTAAGGCAGGAGGATTGCTTGAAGCCAGGAGTTCGAGACCAGCCTGAACAACATAGTGAGACCTTGTCTTTACAAAAAAAAAAAAAATTTAATTAGCCAGCGTGGTGGCGTGTACCTGTAGTCTTAGCTATTCAAGAGGCTGAGGTGAGAGGATCACTTGAGCCCAGGAGTTCAAGGTTACAAGTGAGCTATGATCATGCCATTGTACTTCCGCCTGGGCACTGGGCAACAGAGCAAGCAAAAAAAAATCCTGGGGCCATAGGTCACAAATTAATTTACATCTGTATCTTTCCCCAAATCAGCTAACACAAATTCAACACAGATTTCTTGAAAACAACTCTGCTTCAGAAACAGAATTTGTCTGACTTTGATCATATAATCTCAGAGAGGGAAGAGGTTGTTAGAGGTGAATTAATATAACACCCATGACACGCTTTAATACCGGTGACCCCAAAATATCAGATAGCAAAAGGCTGTGGGACTCACTACATAAAAACCACCCAGTGAATTTTAAAAGAATGTAGATTTCTGAACAGTACTCCAGACAGTCTAGGTGATGCCCAGGTATCTCTTATTTATTTTAAAGTTGTCTAAGTAATTCAGATGCACTGTCAAGTTTGGAAAACCCTGAACTAAACTTGATCAGTCAGCTATTGCTCCCTAACAAACCTCCATAAAATCTCAGCAGCATGCCACAAGGAGCATTCATTTCTCATAGATCTAGAGGTTGGCTAGGGGTTGGCTGGTTGATCTAGGCTAGGCTTGGGTGGATGGCTTTGCTTTAAGATACAGATTCAGCTGGGTTTGGCTCCTGTGTGCTGGTTGAGTTCTGGTTCACTATTCTAGTATTCATTCTGAGGATGGGATCCAGGAGGAACTCTTGTCACGGAGATGGCAGCGGTACAAGGGGGCATATACACGCTGCTTGTATATGTCTGCTAAAATCTCATTGGCTAAGATCAGTCCCATAGCTGAGCTCAAAGACAAAGGATAGGGAAGTTTATTCTCCTTATGGAGGTAAGTGAGAGGGAATAATAGGACGTGAATATTTTTAAACAAAAATCTATCAGAGATCCTATATGGAACATAATTAGTTATGCTCTACCAGAATGTTTTCACTTCCAAGTAACAGAAAACCCCAATCCAAGTTAAGGTAAACAAAAAGGGATTTATTGGCTCAGGGTTAAAAAAAAAAATTGTCAGAGGTAGTGCCCTCTCTTATGAGTTGATTTCTGTTCTCAATTAAGCTTCACTCATGGAAAACATTGCATTCCTTCAAGAAACCCTTATGAGCATTCGCTGCACACCAGAGTAGCCTCTGGGGGCAAGAGATCCTGCCCTCACTGTGTGGGAGAGAAGGAGACACTTGAAAATTAACAACTACAACTCACTGTGATAAATACCAAATATAAATGGAGTGAGGGTGGGGTAGATGTAAATGGCAAATCCCATCCCATACTCCCAGCCCTGCCAATATCCTGGCTTTCCTAGACCTCCTGCTGGAGGGTCCAGCTGCATAACAAAGTCCTGATAAACAGTAATGAGACACTTTGGGACTGACAAATTGGCCCCAGTAGGAGAGAGTCACAGTGCTTGACATAGAAACAGGGGAAAGCAATGATTTATGGTGCAGCACTGGCAAAGCCTGGGATTGACTTCTGATCCAATTTGTGAAACTGGACCCCAATTTCTAGATAGGGGGGTCTTCGTAAAATGGATATGTTATTTATTCATTCAGCAAATTTGTACTGAAGGTCTACTCCTAGTGCCTGGGAATATACAATGGTAAGTACAACAGACCTGGTCCCTGTCCTTAGGAAGTTTACAGTCAAATATTAATCAAACAGTTATACAAATAAAAGTAAAATTGCCACATTGTTAACAAATGCTATGAAAGAGGAGGTTAGAGAGGTTTCCCTAAAGGAGTGATGCTTGTGCTAAGATCAGAAGGAGGAGCAGAAGTTAACCAGGTGAAGAGGGAGTGCTCCAGGCAGAGGGAACACTTCCCTGCGAGTAAGAGCATCTGAATGCCAGCCAGTTTAGTAAGAATCTAAAAAAGCAAGGTTGGCCGGGCACAGTGGCTCACACCTATAATCCCAGCACTTTGGGAGGCCGAGGTGGGCAGATCACCTGAGGTCAGGAGTTCAAGACCAGCTTGGCCAACATGGTGAAACCCCATCTCTACTAAAACTACAAAAAATTAGCTGGTCATGGTGGCAGGCGCCTGTAATCCCAGCCACTTGGGAGGCTGAGGCAGAAGAATCAGTTGAACCCGGGAGGTGAAGGTTGCAGTGAGCCAAGACCGCGCCACCGCACTCCAGTCTGGGCAACAGAGCAAGACTTCGTCTCAAAAAAAAAAAAAAAGCAAGGTCAACTAGTTTAGGACTTCATTTATCAGGACTTCATTTATTGATTCAACAAATATTTACTGAACACCAACTATGATCTAGGCACTGTCCTAGGTACAGAGAAACAGCAGTGAACAAAACAGTCTCTGATTCTCACAGAGCTTATGGTCTAATAGGGGAGACCTGATAATAATAATAATGTCAGTGGGAAAGAATAATTGTTGGGTTGAGCCATGATAATCATACACCGAGAACCGGCTATGGCACAGGTATGCCTATGTCCCAGGCACTTCGCATTTGTTGTCATTAATCTTCCCACCCACCTTTGTGGTAAGTATTATTTCCATTTTATAGATGAAAAAACAAAGGGCTCATGAGGTCAAGAACCCAAGGCCACAAGGTGAAGAAGTTGGAGTTACCTGGTTCATTCTGACTATAAAACCCCACCACATCACTAGCAGGAGAAGATAAAGAAGCATCATCATCTGACACATGATGAAGCAAAAAAATTGGCATTATCAAGACTGCAGGCACCTAAGAGTCTTCACAAGCCATCCTGACCATCTTGCAAGAGTGTCAAGAGATTTTGTTGGGTTTCTTGTGATTATATTCAGAGATTCTTGTGATGCCATTGGTGGGGACTTCCGTTGGAATTTCTGTTATTCTTATCCACTTCCCCTGAATGGTCCTCAATTACATAGACAAGGTAGAAGCCAAGAAGGCAAGGGTTACAGAACAAAAAGTGCTATGGGAATGCAGAAAGATATCCTAACTCTGCCTGAAGGAGAACAGGCTTCATTACTATAATTGTCACTTCTCACCCAAACAGTCCCTGTGAGTGGGTAGAGAAACTGAGGAGGCATCTCTGGGTTTTTCCTGCAGGTCTTCTTGTCATTCAATTGTTCAGCATTGCTCTGAATACAGAAGTAAGATTTTTCTTGATCTTTCAGCAAATGGAAATTTTCAGCCGCAATCCAAAAATTTCTCCAAGGGTTTTAGTTCATAAAGGAGTGTATCAATGAAATAGCTTCTCTGAGAAAGACAATCACATGTAAATGGAAGTAGGAGGTATAGCATAGTAATTAAGAGTGTAGGCTCCGGAACCAAACCATCTGGGTTTTCATCTTAGCTCTGCTGTTTGCTAGCAATATGACCTTGGTCAAATTACTTAACTTCTTGGTGCCTCAGTTTGATAATCTGTAACATGGAAATAAAATTTTTATCTGATTCATAAAGGTTGTTATAAGAATAAAATGGGTTCATAGATGTGAAGTGCTTAGAACCATGCTTATTACATCATAAGTACTCAATAAATCATTAGCTAGAAGTAGGAGTCGCATAGTAACCACATGAGAAATGTTAGTTATTGTTAGTGGCAGTTGTCATTAACTGTACTTATATACCAGACTAAGAGCTCCACATGTATTATCTAATGTAACACAACCAAAAACCTAGTCTTTTTTTGGTTTTGGTTTTGGTCTTTTTTTTTTTTTTTTTTTTTTTAGAGAGAGGGTCACACTCTGTAACTTGGACTGGAGTGCAGTGATGTGATCATAGCTCACTGTAACCTTGAACCCTGGACTCAAGCAATCCTCCAGCCTCAGCCTCTTGAATAGCTATGACTATAGGTGTGCACCACCATGCCTGGATAATTTTTAAATTTTTTTTTAAGAGATGAGGGTCTCACTATGTTGCCCAGGCTGGTTTTGAACGCTTGGCCTCAAGTGAGCCTCCCATCTCATCCTCGCAGAGTGCTAGGATTACAGGTGTAAGCCACTATGCCTGGCCTGAGAAGGTACTAGTATTATCTTAATCATATAGATGAGAAAGCTGAGGTTTGGAGAGGTTAGGTAATTTGCCCAAGGTACATAGTTAATGGGCAACAAGGCTGGGGCCAGGTCTGTCTAGCTCAAAAGCCTGTACTTTGAATCAAAACCCAAAAGGTTAAAGTCAACAGTGAAAAGAGCTCATCTGAGCTGGCTGGGTACTAGAGAGGCCTGCAGGACGCAGCCTGGTAACTGGCAGAGGCAGCCAAGCTGCTGGGAGGAAAAGTTCTGACAAAAAGCCAGGTGGGTCAAAGGGAAGGACAAGATGTTTCAGCCAAGAGCCTGGAAACTTGAGAATGGCATCCACTGAGCCAAGAATCATGAAAGAGAGATAAAGCAAGGAGCTAGGTACCTGGAGGAATTACAGTAAGTCAAATGGAACTAAATAATTACATTTTACCACTGTGTGCGTTTAAGTATGTCAGCTTGCCTCTGTATGTATACATATGTATTGACCATATGCCATTTGCCTGTGTGTACATATGTAATGAGTGTATCAGCTTGCCTCTGTACATATGCATAAGTGCCAAGCATATGTCATTTTACTCTGTGTACATATGTAAGGAGTGAGTATATATCAGGTTGCCTCTGTGAGAGTGTATATGCATGCATATTGGAGTATGACAGCTGGACCCTGTGTTTGCACATGCACATTTACATGTGTGTATCCACACATTCATTACTGTATTTATCAACTCATCTGTATATATACATGTGAACTTGAATCAACAGACTTTTAATTATTCTCCCTTCCTCCCAGTTAAAAATTATTCCCTAAAGTCTAATGGCCTGGGGGTTCAGCATAAGGGTCAATACTGTTGGATTCAGCACTTAGTCTAGTTTCCTAATTGAGGGAGATATAAAAGTAAAACAGCAAGACTGCATTCTGAAGCTATTTCTCTCAGCATAGAACAATAGTAATAGTACATAAGGCAGCTTTGGTAGTGGTGACTTCAACAACGATGAGAGCAGGGGTCAGGGCAGGGCATGGATCTTGGTAACAATAGCCCCATTCACCCAGCATTCATCCAGCAGTATTTAGAGATTGCCCATTATCTGCTAAGCAACCATGTTAGGCAGTGAGGACACAAAGGTGAACAAGATAAACACCATCCCTGTCCTATAGTCTAACAAAAAAGTCAAATTGTAAATGTAAAGGCTTTAGCAGATGATCAGAATGTATCAGACTCCTACCATAGCAGGCACTGGGGGTATCAAGGAAAGCTTCCCAGAAGAAGTGATATTTAAGCTGAGGCGGGAAGACTGATGAGTTAGAAAGTGGTAGAGAGGGAACAGTATTCTATGAAGAAAGATCAACATGTAAAAATGGAATAAAGAATATGGCAAGTTCAAGAAATAGAGAAAACGCAACCGTGGATGAAGTCTGGAGAGTGAATGACAGAGAATGAAGTTGGGGAACTTTAGAAAGCAAGGGACAGATCATGTCGACCTTTTAAGCTAGAATAAGGGGCCAGGTGCAGTGGCTCATGCCTGTGATCCCAGCACTTTGGGAGGCCGAGGTGGGCAGATCACAGGAGATCGAGACCATCCTGGCTAACACGGTGAAACCCCGTCTCTACTAAAAATACCAAAAAAATTAGCCGGGCGTGGTGGCATGGGCCGATAATCCCAGCTACTCGGGAGGCTGAGGCAAGAGAATCACTTGAACCCGGGAGGTGGAGGTTGCAGTGAGCCAAGATTGTGCCACTGCACTTCAGCCTGGGCAACAGAGCAAGACTGTCTCAAAAAAATAAATTAATTAATTTAATAAAATAAGCTAGAATAAGGATTCAGACTTGATTTCAAAATTATAAGCAGGGAATAACCTGCTCAGATTTGTGTTTTTAAAAGGTCACTTGGTTAAATGGGTGAACTGTAAGTTACGTTAATTACATCTTATCAAAGCTGTTACAAATCATTTGGGCTGCAGTGTGCAGAATGGATTGGAAAGACAAAATATATGCAGGGAAATCATGAGGGGGCTATCACTGTGGTCCAGGTGAGTGAGGATGGTGGCTCGGACTAGGGAAGATGGGGACAAGTAAATTAATGGAATTTAGGAGGTAAAATCAGCAGAACTTGGTAACTGACTAGATGTGGGAGGTGAGGAAGAAAAAATGTCAAGCAAGGGTTAACTCCAGATTCAGTGGCATTTACTAAAATAGAAACTCTGGACAAAAAGCAGGTTTGGAGAGAAAATGATGAGTTTAGTTAGTTCTAGGCACACTGAATTTGAAGGGCCAGTGAGGCTTCTGGATGGAGGTGTCCAGTAGCAGTTGAATTTATAAGCCTGGTGCTTAGAGGAGAGATTTATACTTGGCATATAAAGGTGGAAGGCATCAGAGGGTAAATTAATTGAAGTCATGAAAGTGAGTGTGATGATTTAATGAGATTTTGTAAAATGAAAGAAGAGGACTAGGCTGAAGCTGAGGAACACTGATAAGAGGTAACTAACTGTGACAGAATTCTCAGAAAATTCAGAAGGAAACTAGGAAAGAGCAGTGTCATAGTGACCAAGGAACAAAATGTTTCAAAAAGCAGGACATGGTCAACTGGTCGAATGCTGCTGATAGGTAAAGCAAAATGAGTCCAATGGATACAGTCATTTATAAGTCATCAGTGATCTTAGTAAAGCCATTTGGTAAAGTGGTAGGAGCAGAATCCAGAAAAGAGTTTATTGAAACTGACTAATAAGTAGGAAATAGAGGCCGGGCACAGTGGCTCACACCTATAATCCCAGCACTTTTGGAAGTCAAGGCAGGTGAATCACTTGAGGTCAGGAGTTCGAGACCAGCCTGGCCAACATGGTGAAACCTCATCTCTACTAAAAATACAAAAATTAGCTGCGCATGGTGGCGGGCACCTGTAATCCCAGCTATTCAGGAGGCTGAGGCAGGAGAATCGCTTGAACCCAGGAGCTGGAGGTTTCTGTGAACTGGCATCACAGCACTGCACTCCAGGCTGGGCAACAAGAGGGAAACTCCATCTCAAAAAAAAAAAAAAAAGAAAGAAAGAAGTGGGAAGTAGAGATAGAACGTTTAGACAGCTCAGCTGTTAAGGGAAGAAGAGAAACAAAGCTAAAGGTGACTGTGGGTAAAGAAAGTACTTTTTAAGACAAGACTATAACACATTTAAATGATGATGATAAAAATCCAATAAGGGGGCAAGGGGAGACTTGAGCATAATAACACGGGAAAAATGATAATCAGTTGCATAAGTTGTTTTTTTTTGTTGTTTTTTTTTTTTTTTTTTTTTTTTTTTTTGAGACAGAGTCTCACCCTGTCACCCAGGCTGGAGTGCAATGGCGCAATCTCGGCTCACTGCAACCTCTGCTTCCCAGGTTCAAATGATTCTTCTGCCTCAGCCTCCAGAGTAGCTGGGATTACGGGCGCCCGCCACCACGCCCAGCTTATGTTTGTGTTTTTAGTAGAGATGGGGTTTCACCATGTTGGCCAGGCTGGTCTCGAATTCCTGACCTCATGATCCACCAGCCTTAGACTCCCAAAGTGCTGGGATTACAGGCGTGAGCCGCCACGCCTGCCCTGCATGAGATTCTTGAGAAAACAGGAAGGAGTGGCATTCAGAGTACCGATAGAAGAAATGGCTATTAAAAGAAGACACTTTCTTCTCTGTAACAAGAAGGAAGGTAGAAAGAATGGGGGCTGTTGCAGGTGGTTTATAGTTAGGATTTTGAGATATTAAGGAAATTCCTGGATCACAGCTTCTGTGTTCTCCCAGCAGAGCTTAGGAGAGATGGATAGCACCAGAGGCAGACACCAGAGAGGCAACCTAAAGCCGTGATGCTTAGGAGGAGGAAGTTAGGAGTCTTTTCTCTCAGGTAGATGTTCCTTGGCACAGGGAAAAAACTATCCCCTGTCCTCCCCACCCCAGCCAAGGAGTTCTAAGGGAGATGATCTCTTAAGAAACATGTGGCGAAGTGGAGCCTTTGCTTTCTGAGTAGCCAGCATGACTTGAGGTAACCTAAATTCAGATTTTCTTAAACCCAGCATGCCTTCTTTCCATATGAATGCTGACAAATGGTCAAGACTGATTTAATCACCGTTTTGCAATCTTCAACAAGATAATGGAATCAGATAAGGATCATCAATGTATGCCAAAACCGTTGGGTGAAAGGTTACAAGGAGACAATATTCATGGTCTTAAAGCATCACCCCACAGATAACTTATTAGCTATGAGTGAAAGTAACTTTATAATGGAGTGAAAGTAACTTTATAATGGAGTGAAAGTAACTTTATAATGACTGCTACCGCCTCCACCAGGTGATCAAATTTAGGGACAGTTTGCCACTATGTGCCTCCTAAAATGATGCAATGAGAGGTTCGTGACATTTATCTACATGATACCCTTGCTGACAAAGTTGAACCTGCATCTAATCATGAGGAAGTAACCAAATAAATTCAGAATGTGAGGGTACTTTACAAGGCCTGGACTTGAAAATAAATTTAATGTCACAAAAAAAATAATAAATAAATAAGGAGAGAGTTTCGTTCTAGATTATTAAGACTAAAGAGACAAAACAACCAAATGCAATAAACCTTAACTGGATCTGAAAAAATAAACAGCAATAAAAGATATTAAGATAACTGCAGAAATTTGAGTGTAGACTATCTATTAGATGATACTGAATTAATGTTAATTTTCTTAGGTGTGATGATGGGATTATAGTAATCTAAGAGAATTTTCTTATTTTTGGTAGATACATGCTGAAGTATTAAGGGGTGAAGTGTCATGATGTCTGTAACTTCCTTTCAAATGGTTAAAAGAGAGGAAAATGAACCGTTAACAATTGATAAATGTAGGTAAAGGATTAAAAAAAGATTAAAAAAAACCCTCAGTGCAAACTATTTCTTAATTACTTCACCAAACATTTTTTGCCATGACCTTGGATAACTTTATGCTTATAAGCATAAACTGTGCTGCTTAATGTGCTAAATTAGATTGAAATCTTTAAAAGCATCATAGCAAGAAAATTGCTCTGCAAAGCTTTTTAGACATAAAAGAACTTCTAATTTGTGTAGGGGTATAAGTAAAGATATGGTAAAGTGGGAGAGCAAGCCACAAAATAATAAGAATGCTTTCCTGGGAGTCAGAAACCCTTTGAGTCTAGCACTTAAGACTAGAGATGTCATTCTCCTTATTTGCAGAGCAGGGCTAATGGTATAAGTTTCATCAGCCTGCTGTACAGGTACAGGAAAAACAGGATGTGAGAAGGATTTATAAACTGGAAATGGATATGCAAGTGAAAGGGTTTATAATTATCATGACATGTTGATGTCCTATTAGCAGTGGTTCTCAAACATCATACACATAACAAGCAAATGGGCAGCTTGTTACAAGTATACATTCCAATCCCACCTCAGAGATCCTGATTCATTAGGTCCAGGACGGGGTCCAGAATTTGCTTTGTGAAAGCACCCCAGATTCTCTGGTGTCTAAGTGTCTAAGCCACACTTAGACAACTGCCTTGGAGGAGTTTAGAGTGATCTAAATCCTTGCTATACATCAGTTAGTCCATGGACAAGCAATATCACCATCACCTGGGAGCTTGTTAGGAATGCAAAATTCACCCCATCACAGATTTTCTAAATCAAAATCTGCATTGTAATGAGACAGCCAGGTGATTCCTATGCATACTAACATTGCAGAAACGCTAATCTAAACGGCAAACCTGATTGATGATCTTTTTTTTTGCCTTGGTCACTGGTTCTCAGCTTACTATCAGACAGAATTGGGGTTGCCATCTTAGCTGTTGCTGACACTTACAACCTCACTTAGCACTTCTCTCTGCTTTTTTTGCTTCAGGCTCCTCAGTCTCCTGGCAGATCTTTGATGAACATAACCACCCAATCAGCGTGCTGAATTTCTCCAACGTCATAAACAGACCAATCAAAGCCTACTGACTTGGAATCTAAATCTAGTTAAGCTATTTACTAGCTATGTGAGTTCCTTTTCTTTCTTGTGGTGAAACATAACACAAAATTTACCATTTTAACCACTTTTAAGTGTCAGTTCAGTGGCATTAAGTACATTCACATTATTGTACAAATCACCACTATCCATCTCTAGATCTGTTGGTATATAATTTTGAACAAGTCACTTTAATCTCTCCAAGCTTCACTTCCTCTATAAAATATGAATATTATTACTTACATCTGCGGACTATTTTAAGAATTAAATGAAATAATACATAAATATGCCTAAAGCCCACAGAAGGTGTTCAATAAATGCTGACTTCCTTCCCTTTGAAGTAGATTTTCACATAGCCCTGGTTTTACAATGGAAATCATCTACCATAATCAATTGACTAGAATTTTTAAAGGATATACAAAAATCTACATATTCTGGGCACATGATTGCCTTAGAATGGGGAAATTTATAAAATAGAAGTGGCCTATAATCTGTAGAATTGGGCAGTTTGAAATAAACAGCAGTCAATTACATTTTGTCGGGAAAATTACATTTGGAGCAGCAACAACCTTTTTGTTCCCATTATATAGAAATTCTTGTATTGCCTGTATTTAGATTGCATTTATAAACAGTTTAAGTGTAATACAATAATCAATAACATTCATGAATGGTGCTTTCAACCTTAGGGGCTGATCCACTTGCATGTAGCATTTGAATTCCATTTATGTACACATTATCTTTTAAGGAGAAGGTAAAATTGATAACTTGGGTTACATGCTGTAAATTGAAAAAGTTAGTTTAATTTCAGAATTAGACTAATTAGAACATGAATTTAGAGATCCTCATCTCCAACACCCTTCTCTCACAAAGAAATTAGTATCCAGAGAGACCTAGTAACTTGCCCACAAAACTAGAACCAGAGCCCAGATTCTAGGAGTGTGTCCTGTTGTTCACTTGACCTTGAAGACTGGGTAACATTTCAGCAGCATAGGTGATGGGAAGGGATTGCAGAGAAGCTGGGAGTATTCCAGGTAGAGGGATCAACAGAAGAAATTGCACAGAGCCTGGCTCTGAAACTGAGAGACTGATGATTGTGTTAAAGGAGTATCAGAGTGAGGAGGCTGGAAGGCAATTGAAGATGAGGTTTTGTGATGGGAGAAGAGATAGTCTTAGACTCTTGCAAACACAAAAGATCAGAATAGAGGGTTAGAGGTTTTGGGGGGGTTGTTTTTGTGGAACTTTGGGGGATTCGATTTTACAATTTTCAAGGCTCTTCCATATTTGTACTCTCATGAGATCACAGCAATCCTGAGAAGTAGGTATTTTGCTGATGATGGTCTAATACTCAGGAGGTCACATCTTTGCAAAGCTAAGATTTGAAGTCAGATGCTGAATACAAAGGCTGTATATTATAATTCTTTTTTATTAATATTTTTAATTTTTTTTTTAAGCAGAGTCTCACTATGTTACCCAGACTGTCTTCGAACTACTGGGCTCAAGTGATCCTCCCACCTTCGCCTCCCAAAGTGCTGGGATTCCAGACAGGCATGAGCCACCACACCCAGATGTATTGTTATTCTTGTTTTTTCTTTTTCTTTTTTTCTTTTTTTGAGATGGAGTCTCACTCTGTAACACAGGCTGGAGTCAGGTGACACGATCTAGGCTTACTGAAACCTCTGCCTCCCAGGTTCAAGACATTCTCCTACCACAGCCTCCTGAGTAGCTGGGATTACAGGCGTGCGCCACCATGCCTGGCTAATTTTTGTATTTTTAGTAGAGATGGGTTTTCGCCATGTTGGCCAGGCTGGTCTCAAGCTCCTGACCTCTGGTGATCAACCTGCCTTGGCCTCCCAAAGTGCTGGGATTACAGGCGTGAGCCACCGTGCCTGGTCTGTATTGTCATTCTTAAAAGCATGAACTCTGGAGCCAGACCACTTGGGTTCAAATCTCTCCATCCCCATGTAGAAGCCATATGACCTTAAAAAAAAAAATGGCTAAAACGTATAATGTTTATCATATACCAGGCAGTATTCTAAATACATATGTCACTCATTTAACCCAACAACCCTATGAAGGGTATTCTATTATTATCACCATTTTAAAGTCTCCCCCACTAAATGAAAATCAAATTTAGAGGAAGGAAAGAAGTAATGAAGAAGTGTCTCAGTAGAAAATCAGAGGAATGAGGACGCATTTGTTCCCTGGGTTCCCCATTCCTTGACTTATAATATAATCTCAACTCCTTGGTATCCCCCTAGTTCCCTTCCCACTTGTGATTCTGTGGTAGGTTAGATTACTGTTCCTCCTCTCCTCACCTTCTTAGGAAGAGTCTACTTCCCTCCTCCTTAGAGCTTCATGCTTTGGCCAAGGAGATGTTAGCAGATATAACACTGAATCATAAAATGTTCTTCTACAGTTGGGCTTGCCCTTTTCTACTTCTGCCCTGAGAAGAGCTTCCCCTGGATAGCTCCTGCCCCTTCAGCCTGGAAATAAAGGTGACCACATGAGACATTTGCCCCAGTCATACCCCAGATTTCTCAATGCCTCAGTGACTGGAGCAACTGCCTCCAGTCCCACAGAATGTTGAAGAACAACCAGCCCATTTCAAGAAACTCTTTGGAGACTCATAGATAAGAATCTAAATCTATATGCACAGCACCAGCCTCTGAATTTCCTTTTTGGTTATGCTGGAAGCTGAACCAGATGATGGGACAGGAAAAGAACTAGAGCCTTACCTTCCACTGCTACTTAGAGTATTTCCCCCATAGCAGGTAGTCTTTTGATTTAAAAAAATCAATTTTTTTTTTTTTTTTTTGGAGACAGTGTCTCGCTCTTGTTACCCAGGCTGGAGTACAATGGCACAATCTCTGCTCACTGCAACCTCTGCCTCCCAGGTTCAAGCGATTCTCCTGCCTCAGGCTCCCGAGTACCTGGGATTACAGGCACATGCCATCATACCTGGCTAGTTTTTGTATTTTTAGTCGAGATAGAGTTTCACCATGTTGGCCAGGCTGGTCTCAAACTCCTGACCTCGTGATCCACCCGCCTCGGCCTCTCAAAGTGCTGTTTGTGTTTTTAGTAGAGATGGGGGTTTCACCATGTTGGCCAGGCTGGTCTCAAATTCCTGACCTCATGATCCACCAGCCTCAGCCTCCCAAAGTGCTGGGAGCCACCACGCCCAGCCATAAAAAAACCAATCTCTTAAATAACAGGATTTTGAATTTTCCTCCCAACAAACCCATAGAAAAGAAAACAGACCAGAGCTGACTTAAATCTCTTAGCAGTCACCAGGAGTCAAGAAAGAGAACCTATATTCCATTTTCCTATCTCATGGACTGACTGTCAGCCCTTTAGTGAGCATATGTGGTTAGTCCTTTCCCCCAAAACTGGCTGTGCTGTAAGGGCATTTTAGAAGAGGAACTGCAGATCCTCTCATTCGGAAGTAACAAGATCACCATTCTGTCCGTTCCAATCAGTACCTACAGTGAGAGAACTTTCATATACAATCTGGACATCTGGATAATGCAGAAACCAAAGTTTTCCACCTAATGATGATAAACTTCACTGTTAGATTAATGATCAGCTTGCAAACCCAACAGTTACATTGGGTAATAGAGGTTCAATAGATGTGTTCTTTTAAATCTTGCATAAATCACTTCTATAAATTGAATCTCATGCTAAATGCACCAAAAGCCTATTTAAAGAAATGCCATGTTGAAATTTTTCATAAAGAAAGTAATCTGAAAGTAGAGCCTGAGATGAGGTTAAAAAAGAAAGAAAGGAAACAATCACACTCTTGTTTTTGTTGCACTGGAAGTTTTATACACTGGGTGTTCCTAAACCATGGTACACCTGGGATACTTCCCCGACAGGGCAGCCTCTCTACAGGAGGGCACCCACATCCCAAAGACAACAATGATATTAAAATGCTTTATATCATTCTTTATTTTAAAAGTGCTTTACCAACATATACTAATCTTCACAACATTCAAGGGAGGTAGATAAGTATTACACCACTTTCACAGATGGAGGAACTGAGGCAGAGATTAGTAAGTTGTGTTGAGGGGCATGATATACGGCACAATTAGGAAAATGATTTGTTGCAGTCATGGATCACTGAAGACCTTTCTCATGATTTCTGAGTACCATCAACACAAAAAGCAGCAGATGCAGCATTGAAGCAGGTCATCAGTAGTTTGGCTAGTCTAAGGCTAAATGTTACCTTGTTGATACCAGATGTTGAATATGCTGTCCTTTGGCAAGCATCCCACTCACACGCATTCTTACATGCTTCCACCTCTAAACAGGGGAGAGGGGAGGCTGTTGTGAGTGCAGAAGGAGGAGGCAGAGAAACAGGGCTGGGAAGGAAGATGACAGAAGAGAAAACATGAACTGATACAAAAGCAAGGGCAAGGACAAACAAGACGACCCTCTGGGAACCAGTCCAACAGAAAGGAAAGCCACAGCAGAAAAGAAGTGTCATTTGAAAAGCTCAGACATCCAGAAATGCTACTCAAAGGGTAATTCTTAGCAATGACATTCAAAGCCACTCCTCATTGCTTTGCCAACTATAATCATCAGGTCCTTCTGACATTCCCAGGAGGCAGAATCATTCCTTTCCTGTGGTCCAGTCCAAGTGCTGATGTAATTGATCTGACACCGCAGAGGCTGTTGACAACTCAAATGTACCCTCCCACCATGCCACCTCTCTTCCTCTGCACGTCTAGTCTCTTCAAAACAAAACAATGCATTTAATATTCTCACTGCAAAAATCCTAAGACATTTCGGGAGATTTTGATGCATAACAATGTAGGATTCCATGCATGAATTTTTATAAAAGGGACATGATGTGGATTAACAGCCCCTCTCAGCCAATGCTTGTTTATACAACAAGGAGCTTTTTTTAAAATTATGGATACCAACTGTCTAGAGAAAAATTGGAGCACAAGGGAAAGAAATAACTTCTCCTGATCTTTCTAGTGGGAAGCAAATATAAGAGATGGTGATTTACATACCACTAGCTGCAATGGAGGTACTGATGGCAGAGGAAGCACCAAATGAGTAGATGACCAAGGACCCAGCAGGGAGGGTCTAAGTCAGATGAACAGGTGGAAGTGGCAGCCCAGAGAGCTGAAAAAGCAGAAGTTAGGGAAAAGACATAGTAGCCAAAGAGGAAATGCATGGAGGTGTTGGTGTTTGAGGTTGAGAGGGAGGCATAGCACTGATCTGTGTCTAGGCCTTCCTAGGACAGGTTGGAGCCAGAAATACATCCTTTCTTCCTTTATTTTGATCAGCAGCATCATTCTTTCAGACATGTAGCTTTAAAATCTTATCCCTTCTCTCCAACAAACAAGGTCAAGTGCCAAGCCTTACTGATGCCACTTTGGCAATGCCCTTCGCACTGGTCTCCCTTGTGGTTTTTTGGTTTTTGTTTTGTTTTGTTTTGTTTTTGAGACGGAGTTTCGCTCGTTACCCAGGCTGGAGTGCAATGGTGCAATCTTGGCTCACTGCAACCTCCACCTTCTGGGTTCAAGTGATTCTCTTGCCTTAGCCTACCAAGTAGCTAGGATTACAGGCACCCGCCACCACGTCCGGCTATTTTTTTGTACGTTTAGTAGAGACGGGGTTTCACCATGTTGGCCAGGCTGGTCATGAACTCCTGACCTCAAGTGATCCAGCCGCCTCGGCCTCCCAATGTGCTGGGATTACAGGTGTGAGCCACTGTACCCGGCTGTCTCTCTGGTTTTTAGTGCAACCTCTTCTGGGTCCTGCTGTCATCTCATCCTAACCAGGGACAAACCCTCCTACCTGGTATCCCCTACTCCAGTCTTCTCTCCACTCAATTCTTCTTCTACTTTTCTTCCTGTAGTACAGTTCTGATCATGTTACTGCCCCAACTCAGAAATTCCCCATGCTCTCACTCCCTCTCAATTATGTGTCTCATTATCTTGAATCTTCAACAGGACCTTGCATCTAGTGAAGTTCTTCTGTTTCCAAACCTCCACCTGCCAAAATGCCAACTCTGAAGACTTAGCTCCACTGCCATCTCCTCCATGAGGACTTTCTTCATGCTTCTGAGCTCTCTGCTGAGGTACAAACGCACTTTGAAGACATGCAGTGATCACGCACATGATAGCTGTGTACAACCCTTATATTCCCTACTGGGCTGTGTCCATGATTTGCCAAGGTGGGGGATGATGGACTGTGTCTTAATATTTACCTGTCTATCCCTTACAGCACCTACTAAGAAACGGTTATTGCATTTCTACCTCAGGTAAGAAACTGCTCAAAAGTGAAATGAATTGTTATATACTTGTTCACAAATGGAGACACTGCAACAAGTACCCTGTAATGTGATCTGACTCTCAGGATAAAACCAATCCATGATAGAGCTCAAGGAATGGGACAAGGGCAGGCAGTTTGGGCTATATATTTTGGAGTCAAGAAATCTGGGATTGAGGTTCTGCTTTGCCATTCGCTAGCTATGGGCTTGACACCAGGTGGTTCTTCTTTGAGTGTCATTTCCTTCCTTCTGCACAGCCTCACGGGATGAAGAAAAAAATGAGACCCATTTGTGAATGCTATATCAGTGATTCTCAATCCCAATTATGCATCATAATCTCCTGTAAAGCTTCGGAAAAATACAGAGGACAAGGACCCAGCCCAGGTAAATTGAATCAGAATCCTCTGGAAGTGGGACGCAGTGGGACTAATTATTTATAAAATGCTATTTCTAATGCATAGCCAAGGTTGGAAGCTACTGTTAGAAACTCATAAGTACCATTAACAGTAGAGCAAGGTGCTTTAGGCTGCTGGTTTATCCTTTATACATAAAGTTAGGAATCAGTTCAATGCTTTTATAGTTCCATTAAAATACACTACTGTGTGCAAGCATTTTTTGTGTTCTTCTGCATTGTTGTGTGGTTAAGTTGTAAGTTCTGAGAGAATAGTATCTAGCACCACTGTATGTAAAGATGTACCTAAGCCAAATTTCTGAGAAATAAAAACTTCATAGAGTCCTCTGAAACCTTGCTATTCAGAAGTGTGGTAACCAGACAAGTATAACTGGCATAAACCAGGAACTTGTAAGAAATGTAGAATCTCAGACTCCACTCTGTACTCTCTATATTAATGAGGTTCTTAGATGTGTCAATAGGTGAAGCAAAGGCAATCTTTGCTCAGTTCACATGTATGTTTAGGGTCTGCTGTTCCCTGTCCTAATCCTAAAAGGGTAGGAGGGCATGAAGCATCTGGTTCTGTCTTCCACAAACCACTGAAGATTGGGACTTTATCCCGATGCTTCTTTCTCTAAAAGGGTTCATTTGGTAAAAACTAAATTAAGAACATAAATCCTCACAAAAGGATCTTTTCTTTCAAAGAAGACTAGTCTTCACAGGCTTTCTTCAAATAACCAGTTCCTTTGAGACATTGAAAATATAATTCAGTGTTAAAAATAAATTCATACCTGTTTTAAGTTGTGTGCTATGCATAAATAGCAAGTATATGTGTACCTTACCAAACTTACGGTCCCCAGCCCCCAAATTCCAAAATTATGCAGGAGGGAAGCTTAGCCATTGCAGTAAACAATTTCTCCCTATTGACTCATGCTCTCCAGCTAATTATGATGTGGGCAGTACCCATCTAAGACTATACAGACCACTCCATAGCCAAGAAGTTGTAAGAGACTCGGAACATTATCTAGCCCAACTCCCTTGTTCTGTGGACAGGAAACACCACACCAAGGGTTAAAAGGAGTTACCCACATTCATACAGCAACTTGAGGGAGAGTTGAGCTTAGAATTCAGGCCCCGATTCCAAGGCCTGTATCACTTATGTGGACTTTGCCACGTATACTCCTCCTTCCCCACCACATGGCCTTGAACTTTCATTGTCAGAAACTGCTGATCTGCCTTGGTACTTAAGTGTCACTTTGCTGCTTCCAACTACTGCTGTCCCCAACTCCCAGGGCTGTTTTTAACAAGAGGCTACAGGAGAAGCTATACTGCAGCTCAGTCAAAATATCCATTTATCAATCCATATTTCCAAATATGTTGGTAATGGATTCTCAAAAGGCCCAATGCTAACTATGTAATGCCAGCTACAAAGCATTACTACTGGCTAGCACCATGAGCATGGCGAGGGAAGGGCCTTTCCTTTGGTAGCTAAAGACTAAAAGCAAGGGCAACCATCAACTCAGTAGTACAAAGCTGGGAGGAAACTACAGAGAGAAGACAAAAAGTGGAGCACAGCTGGGAAGGCAGCACCTTTAAAAAACATACACAGTGTGACTATAAAATTGCAAGTCTTTCTTTTTTTAATAAAACCCACATACCAGAATGTAGAAATCTAAACAAACATTTCTCCCTCAAAGTAGTTACATCCTTAGTTCCAACAGAACTACCATTGTTGGAGAATTATTTAGAAAAGAAAAGGCCTTAAAAGGTGGTTTATGAGCCACATTAGAAAATACCCTTCTAAACACTGGGCTGTTTAAAAACAGAAAATCCATACTCAGAGGATGATACTGAGAAAATTTAAAAAGTGTGGCAGCTCTCATGGAGGTTCCCTGAAGACCTCTAGCAAGTTTGAGCAACAGCATCACCACTGGAGAAACGTGTAGCCTCCCAGGACAGTCACTTTCGACGGGAGGGCATTCATTTGGATAGAAAAGTTCTGCTGTCTGTTTAAAAAGAAACAAAAACAAAAACAAACAAACAAAAAAACCAGCCACACTCCTTTATAGTCACACTTGCATTTGATTTAAAAAACAAAAAACAAAAAACAAACAAAAAAAAACAACAACACTCACATGTGGTTCTTGTATGAATTCTAATTAAGAGACATTACATTCAGAATTATAGCACTCATAGTGATAATTTTCAGAAGACTATAACAGCTTCTTTGCCACTTAAGGGGTACAGAGGGTGCAGCTGTTTACCTGAATGAATTCTTAAATAAGTGACTACTACCACTCTAATTTTCCTAGTTGTAGCTCTGTTACAGGTTACTGACCGCAAGTCCATGTTCCAAACATTCTTTGCCAACACAGATTAATTACAAGAGAGCCACCCCCAAAGTCTTAGGGCGAATTGGGAAAGGGCCGGTTAAATGAGGAAACAGGCCATTCCTTGGTAAAAGTTTGTAGTTTTCTTTCCCAATACATCTTCTTTTTATTGAGAACTTCCATTTTTATCCTGTGTTCCTCCTCTGCCATCTCACACTCTCGCTCTATCTGCTGGATTTTGGCCACATGCACCTCATTCATTTGTATCAGTTGCAGTTGTAAGATGGACATTTGTTGATGGTGTTCTTCCTCATGCATCTTTTTTAAAGCACCTTCCTGAGAGGTTTTGCTCCTGTAGTTTTTATTGGCTGTTATTCTGACAGCTGAACACGAGGGTTCAGGTTGAGAGGTCCCCTCACATACTGGAAAATGTATGAACTCTTTCTCATCATCGCACAGTTCTCTATTTGAAACAGCAAATGATTCTGAAAAACAGTAGCAGAAAACATATGTTCAAAGATTTTACAGGCAGAGAAAAAAAACCAATCCTATTTCAAATGACAGGGTCCTTCATTACAGGATGTATCTAAAACCATGTCTGCTTTGGCCTTCATGTCTACAGGCACCCTAGCAACACCTGACTTTTTTAAAACCCACAAATCAAAAGCAACTTTTTCTTAAGAAATAATGACAAGGGGTTTTGTTAGGTTATTTCCTAGAACTTCAAAGTATGGGATCCGTTGTCAGAAACCATGCTTATCAAGAATCGGAGACCTTGTTATGTTGATATTCTAAACTGAAATGTGCCCAACTCTGATGAGCGTAGGACCACAATGCAAGGCCAGTGTGGATCTTCAAAGTAAGTTCTCTATCAGTCTGATCATCCTTTGCCAACTTCTCATTCAGCTATGAACACATATGTGTAATCTTTGCAAGAGTGCTATTGCTGTTTCCTGGTCACAGGTGTTAGCCCTTACCCTGGAGAGCCATCTTGTAAATGCTGTTCCTTGAAAGATGAGCCTACATTCCCTGGCTTAACTCCCTCACAAACATTTTCCCTTTACTCTCCAGCACTGCCATCTGGGGAGTTTTCAATGTCCCTCTTATTCAACCTATCTCTGGTACTTGACTATCCTTGAAATTTCTTTCCTCCATTAGCTTCTGAACCATGACTCGCCTAATTTCTAAGATGCCTTCCTCTCTGATTGCTCCTTCTCAAGTCTTCTTGATGTACAGAGACTCTTGCTGTACTCACCTGTTACCTTTTCATATTCTCCTGGGGGTTCCCATCCGTGGCTCTGTTCTTAATCTACCCTAAGTAAACTCATAACCTGATGCTGACCTTCCTTTCTTGTCTGACTCTTCCAAATGCCCTGTGTACCCTTCACTCCTACCACAAGCTACTCACATCCTTTATAAGGTCATGCTTTTTTTCATAATTCTGTTTCACTGTTCCTTCTGCTTAAAGTTAGGCTATCTGTCCCTCCACTTACTGTAGTCTTGCTTTTTTAACCTCCCCCCAACTCCTACTCATTCAAAACCAATGCCGCTTGCTCTGTGAAACCTCAGGTCTCTCCTTTATATGTACTCTTCTGTTACAGCACTTAACACACACTAGTATTGGCACCATGACATTCTCTTTTTTTAATCCTTGGGTACTAATTACTTTGTTTGGTACACAGTGGATGCCTAGTAAATGTTTATTGGCTGAACCCTTGAATATAAAACGAAGAGTATATGGATGCAAAAGGATACCATGTTTGGTAGGTGCTATGTTTGCCCTGATTTCTTAATAGAGCAGTAACATCAGTGTCAATTAAGGGAGTTGCAATAAAGAAACCACTAACTCCACTAACCCATGGAGTCTTCTAGCTGTGATTCTAAGGCTTTCTTGAGAAGCTTTACATTTCCAATAATGAGAATCTTCTCCTTGGAGAAAAACAATGCCAATTTATTAACAGAGTTGATTACATTATTACGTCCACTCCATTATTCTGGAAGATGAGATGCTGGGAATGCTAACAGCTACTGGGGGAAACCTAATTCATAATACCCTGTTAATAACAGGAAAATGGCTACTGTTTAATTATTCCACTCCAAGAGGTAAAGTAACAACCATAACTAGTCCGTAATTATGATTAAAGAAAAGGTAAAAATCTTACTTCTGGAAGAGAAGGTTGAAAAAAAAAAAAAAAAAAAACACTTCTGTGCCATTCAGAAATAATGAAAATGTCTCTTGGAAATCTTTCCTGGAGACAGCTCTGGCCTCAAAGACAGCTCTTCCTTCATGCTCCCACTGCCTCCTGGGCCTATCTCTGGCAGAACACTTGTTAAAACTGGCAGTTTACCTCCCTTTTAAGTCTCTGAGAACTTTAAGACAGAGATTGCTTCTGCTCATCCTCATGTAGAACCCGGCACAGGGCCTGGTATAGTGCTGGGCATGTAAGAAATGTGTATGGGATGAATTACCTGCAGTGGGTCACATACCTCCTAACACGCCCAACCACAGAGAGGGAACAGTGCTCTGTGTGGGTATCCAAGGCACAGGACAAAGGAATGGGAGAGCTTAACACTGAGAATAGGGCCCTCAGGTGTGAGCTTCAACTGCAAAGAGCATTACCTCACCTGTTTCCTTTCTAGTTCTGGATCTAGAAAGGAAGACATTCTGGAAAATGTCTTCTTTAAAGACTGGACACATTAGACATTTTGTGGTACCTCTAGTCTCTTTTCTCTTTGATTTCATTCCAGGGGATAGTTCTGGATACTCCTCTGAGTCCTTAAAGTTCATCCCCTAACAATGCTGCTGTCTCACCCAATTTCTTTAATTTCTTCTTCTTCTTCTTCCTCTTTTTTTTTTGGTGAGATGGGGTCTCACTGTGTCACCCAGGCTGGAGTGCAGCGGCGCAATCTCAACTCACTGCAATCTCTGGCTTCCAGGCTCAAGTGACCCTCCTATTTCAGCCTCCAACTAGCTGGGACTACAGGCATGCACCACCAAGCCTGGTTAATTTTTTGCATTTTTTGGTAGAGACGGGGTTTTGCCAGGTTGCCCAGGCTGGTCTCAAACTCCTGAGTTCAAGCGATCTACCCGCCTTGGCTCCCAGAATGCTGGGATTATAGGCGTGAGCCACTGCGCCAGCCTCTTCCAATTTCTAAATGTTCACTTTCATCTCAACAATTCCAGGCTTTAGAGACCTGATGATGACAGTGATGATGATGATGATGATGATGATAGCACGTACTGTTTTTTGAGCAGCTAACCAGGTTCTAGGCTAGTGCTTTACAGCATTACCTCATCTAATCCTTACCCTATGAGGGAGGTATTATTATAGAAAACCAAATATAATATCCAAGGTCACATGGCTAGTT